CTATTATTATCATTGTTATTTAGATTATTATTAGGCCTAAAAGAGGTTAACATTCTACAAGTATAATACCACACTTTGATACTCCCTTTTTGCCCCCCCCCCACCCTCCTCCCTCAGGGGCGGTGCTACTGACTGAAGTGTCTTTAGGCCATTCTCAATTTAGGGGGGGGGGGCACTAACCATGTTCTTCCTATGCACAGTAGAATTGTAATTGTAAATGGGATGATTCACCAATGTCATGCTCAAAGCTATGTGAACTGCAACAAGGAACTGCTGCTTTTTCTTTCCTAATCCTTACTATTGTCATTTTCCTCTACTTCTTTTGTATGTTTGTCCCACTCTTGTGACCCGCTATTTCCGTGGTGCCTTGATAGTCGAAGCAGACTTTGTGTTGTTGAAGCTAGAGAAGTGAGCAGAGTAAGCCTGATTCCCTGTAAGGATTCACGGACTTCTCTGTCGACATCCACCCCTTGGAGCTCATATTACCTTATGCAGTTGCGAGCACCGTAAAACCTTACTAAAACTAAAACTGATCAAAACTCCTATTTTGATGATCTCACCGTGAGGCGAAGCGAGTACTCGGGCGAGGTACAGAAGCCGTCCGTTGCCTGCACCACGATGTTTGTCTGCCTCAGGGTAGAATCCTCATAGTTCAGGGCTGTGTTAGTGTCGATCTTTGGAGGGTCGTCTGAAAAGGAGACATGTGAGGCATGCTGACAAATTGAGCAACTTCTCACAATCAACAAAAGGAGATATTGGCCAAAAATTCAAAAAATCATAGATGCAAGTGTCACGTTTATTGTAGATTTTCTATTGACGTCATATTCTTTAAGTATAACATGCCCTTTAATATTTCATACTCATAAATTGTAAAAACTTTACCTATAAGTGTGATGTATCTACTTCCCATAGAGCTTGAATCGGAGAAGTAGCTCATTTTGTCAGCACACTTCACATATTGATAGGATACGATGAACCCCGTTTGTTCCAAAAAGTGGTGGGAATTTGTCATATAGAAAAAAATGAACACTCAAAATAGAAAGGAGTTAAGTACAGTGCTTGAATATACTACCAAAAAGTAACCGACTACACCTATGCATACAAAGTGCCAACAAAAAAACAACAACAAAAATACATCCGTATAAACAAACTTATAGAAGACTAAAAGGCTAAAAGGACAGACTTTTTGTGTTTCAATATATCGCCAATCAGCAACCCTCATATCCCTCCCTCAACCACTAAAATATTTTTTTTTTAAATAAAAAAATAACAAATAAAATAAAGATGGAAAAAAAACTTTGTAAAAATAAATAAATAGACATTGGAAAACTAACAAAATTTTAAAAAATATAAAGCACACTCACGCACACACACACAAACACACTCACACACACACACACACACACATACACACACACATACATACACACACACAAACAAACAAACAAACAAAAATACTCACGCCCACACACTAACATACACACACACAAACAAACATACTCACGCACAAACACACACACACACACACACACAAACATACACATACAAAATGTAAACAACAAAAAACAAATAAAAGGTCGTACAAAAAAACCCCACCAAGACATACAGACAAGCAGACAGCCCTACAAACCAACCTATAGTACTGAACTGCGCCCATCCGGCAGCGTTTGTGGTGGTGTAAGTGTAGGTCAAGGGGTCTCCGTCCGGGTCAATGAAGTCCATGGTGTACACGGTGCCTGTGGCATCCTCCGGGATTTTCACCTCTCTGTTCATGTTCATGGCCACAGGAGCTGTGTTGGCGTCTGGGAACATCATTATTATGGAAATGTGTTATGACACGGTGGAATCGGGCGCTCGACAATTTTTTGGCATAAATGGTCGTTTTTAAGGACAAACAGGCTAACCCAGATTTCACAGGGTTCAGTAAATCTTGACTTACACCAAAGTAGGCATAGCCCTACCTACAGGAGAAGTTTGGTTTCATGGGTGTGTATATTTATTTGGTTATAGAGAAAACTCACAAGGGTTAAAAAAAAACTTTACCTTCGACTTTCTCAAAATAGCTTTTTAGGCGATAGTCCCCTTGCGCTTAAAAGCTACCAAATATAAAGTTCTAGCTACAGTCTTAAAGCGTGTTCATTTTCCTGTCTTTCGACGAAAGAAAAATATCCGCCTATTTTGCATGTAAGTCGAGATATTTGCAATTGAAGAAGGTGGAGGTCACCTGGAGTGAGAGGTACAATTAGCGAGAAAATGGCCGACAACGTTTGGTAGTGTATTTGGAAAGAAAAACAAGTTTTGTGTGCCTTTGTTCAGTTTTAAAAAAAAGAAAAATTCACACAGAAATACATCTTAATACAGACACAAAAGGTGACCAAAACAACCCAAAAAATCCATAAATATTGACTTAAGGGCAAAAAAATGTTTTCTTCGATTTCATTGTTTTGACAAGCGTCTGATTTCACCACGATGCCTCACAAATAGTATAGGTTTAACGCCACTATCAACACTGTAAGATTATCTAAGAGGTGGGACCTCCGAGTATAAAGTCCATCCCCGAAAGGACCGAACAAAGTGGGAAATTTCGTGTAAAGTGCCTTTCCCAAGGACACAACGTCAGACTGAGCTACGGTTCGAACCTCCGAACTCTCAATCTCCCAATGACGAGTCCCGTAGCCTCACCACAAGACCACTGACGTCACTCTTGGCGTTTGAAGGAACCAACATCGTGATGTCTGTTTGTTTGTTTGTTGGTTGGTTTGTTGGTTTTAATGTAGGTATTCTTGTTTCTTTGTTTTCTGCATGAGTGTTTTTGCTGCTTTGTTTTAATGCAGGTGTTTTACGTCCCGTTGGACACAATTCGCTACCTTAGAATTGCTAAGTCCTATCTGAACCTTTTTGGTCCTTTTGAGTTATTAAGACCATGAGGTCAGAAATCAAATGTAATCTTTAATGCTTTATCAGAGTCGTAAGATTATTCTGAGTCGTTATCAAGATTTTCATAGAATTGCATCCCCCCCCCCAAAAAAAAACAACAACAAACAAACAAACAAACAAACAACAACAACAAAAACAAAAAAACAACTTAACATGACTGTGACAAAACTAAACATTTTTAGGCCAAATCTTTCAATACTAGGCACAGAGCAGATGAAACTTTGTAATTAAAAGGTAGCAAATTATTCAGAACATTTAGTATGTGAGCTTCCGACTCTGCTTGAAAGGGACCAACCCCAGCTGAGAAGGATGCAACATCCCAGCGTAAAGACTGAATCGATTTTTACAAAACCGAACTCTGCCCACTTGTTGAAAACTGCAAATTTACACTTTTTGTGTGTTTAATAAAAGTATTTCAGTTTGTAATATCCACACAGGTTGTGTATGTTTTCAAATGGAAATAAAAGGTGATGAGCCCCCTACCCCCCCCA